GAGGGGCCCCCCGGCCCCGCGGGGGAGGGGGAGGTCTGTGTGTTCTGGAGTGGGGGAAGGGAACAAGCCAGGTGTGTGGGGGCAGATTCAGCCCCCCCATACCCTAAGATGCAGGGTAACGTGGGGTGCAGGGGGTGCAAGCCATGTGTGTGGGGGCAGGTTCAGCCCCCCCCATACCCTAAGGTGCAGGGGAACGTGGGGTGCAGGGGGTGCAAGCCATGTGTGTGGGGCAGGTTCAGCCCCCCCCCTACCCTAAGGTGCAGGGCATGAGAGGGGGGGGAGGTTCCGCCCCCCCCCCCATACCCTAAGGTGCAGGGGAACGTGGGGTGCAGGGGGTGCAAGCCATGTGTGTGGGGCAGGTTCAGCCCCCCCCCTACCCTAAGGTGCAGGGCATGAGAGGGGGGGGAGGTTCCGCCCCCCCCCCCATACCCTAAGGTGCAGGGGAACGTGGGGTGCAGGGGGTGCAAGCCATGTGTGTGGGGCAGGTTCAGCCCCCCCCCTACCCTAAGGTGCAGGGCATGAGAGGGGGGGGAGGTTCCGCCCCCCCCCCCATACCCTAAGGTGCAGGGGAACGTGGGGTGCAGGGGGTGCAAGCCATGTGTGTGGGGCAGGTTCAGCCCCCCCCCTACCCTAAGGTGCAGGGCATGAGAGGGGGGGGAGGTTCCGCCCCCCCCCCCATACCCTAAGGTGCAGGGGAACGTGGGGTGCAGGGGGTGCAAGCCATGTGTGTGGGGCAGGTTCAGCCCCCCCCCTACCCTAAGGTGCAGGGCATGAGAGGGGGGGGAGGTTCCGCCCCCCCCCCCATACCCTAAGGTGCAGGGCATGAGAGGGGGGGGAGGTTCCGCCCCCCCCCCCATACCCTAAGGTGCAGGGCATGAGAGGTGGGGGAGGTTCAGCCCCCCCCCATACCCTAAGATGCAGGGCATGAGAGGTGGGGGAGGTTCAGCTCCCCCCCACTGTACCCTAAGGTGTAGGGGGTGCAAGCCATGTGTGTGTGGGGAGGTTCAGCCTCCCCCCGTACCCTAAGGTGCAGCGCATATGGGGGTAGGTTCAGGCCCCCTGTAACCTAAGGTGCAGTGGTGCAGGGCACGTGGGGGAGGGAAGGTCAGTCCCTGCCACCCTAAGGTGCAGAGGTTGCAAGGTATATGGGGGGAGTTACAGTTCTCCGTACCTTAAGGTGTACGGGTTGCAGGGTGTGTGTGTGTGTGTGTGTGTGGGGGGGGGTTCAGGTGCCTCTGTACCCAGAGTTGGGGTTGCAGGGCATGTGGGGGGGGGGAGTTCAGGCTCCCCTCCCTGCGTACCCAGAGTTGTGGGGATTGCAGGGCGTTGGTGGGGGAAGGTCAGGCTCCCTATGTACTGTGGGGTGGAAGTTGGGGGCATGTAGCGGAAAGGTCAGGCTCCTAGTGCATCCTAAGGTGTGGGTGTTGGGGAGGTTTGAGGGGGGGACATTCAGGGCCCCATACACGGAGACAGAGTGGGGAAGAACTGGCTTGGCAGCAGCATTGCTGAGGAGGGTCTGGGGGTTGGGTTGGGCCACAATTTTAGTGCAATCTTAGGTGGCATTAGCCAAGGCCTAGTGTGCAAGTCCCGGGAGGTGATTGTGCGGCTCTACTCGCCTACTTGCCACTGCCTAGGCCTCAGCAGGAGCAGCATGTCCAGTTGTGGCCAATGCTGTATGGAAAGGATGCAGAGCAGGGATGGGCAATACTTTTTGATGGGGGCCACGCCAAGATTTTGGTAAAGGGTCAAGTGCCGCACTTCTCTATGGAGAGAGTGTGGGATCTGGGATGGAGGTTGGGTGCAGAGGGGAGCTCGGGGTGGGGGAATGGGGTGAAGGCGAGGGTGTGGGATCTGAGAGGGAGTTTGGGGATGTGATCATGGGCAAGGAATTGGGGTGAAGGCTCCAGGGCCACGGTCACCAACCGGTAGATCGCGAGCTCCCGGTCGATAGCAGGGGCTCTGAGTTGATCTTTAGCGCTGTCTGCTCTGAGCATGGTGCAGCTGGGATGGGGCAAAGAGGAGTGGCTGCCCGGCCAGCTAGCCATGGTGTTCAGCCCAGGTGCACCACGCTCTACCTGGGCTGGAGCACAGGGGAAGCTGCCTGGTCAGCTGGCCGCGGTGTTCAGCAGAAGCAGAGGCTGTGCCGCTCTCCTGCTGGCTGGGAAGCCTTTCCTCTTTGCTTCAGCCCAGCTGGAGCAAGGCGCAGCCTCCCCCGGGCTGAGCACCGTGCAGCTGGGGTGGAGCAAAGAGGAGCGACTGCCCAGTCAGCTGGCCATGGTTTCCAGCCCAGGTGCACCACGCTCCACATGGAGCAGAGGGGAAGCTGCCTGGTCAGCTGGCCGTGGTGTTCAGCGGAGTGTGTGCAGGGGACTCCCTGCTCCCACTGGCACCCTGTCCCCTCCTGCAGAACTCTGGCACCATGCCCCCACCCCAGAACCCTGTCCCTTGCCCCCACTGCCACCCTGTCCCCAGCACCCACTAATACCCTTTCCCAGTACCACGTCCCCTGCTCCAACAAGCAGAGTTGGGGCCACATTAGTGAGGGTTGGGGGTTTGTGCTAATTCCTGCTCAGCTTGACCCTTCTTCGTGGAGAACTTGCTGCGGAAGGTAGAGACGCTGCTGGTCGGGCTGGAAGGATTCCTCCCAGTAATGATGGCTTTGGTTCTTAATTAGAAAACTGTTGCTTAGCTGCCATTGAGGCTCCAGGTTGTGTACGAGCAGCTGACCACAGGGTTCACCCCAAGCCCTGTGGTTTATTGCGATGCCGGCTGCACTCCCTTAGCAGTTAAGTTCCTCACTGACATTGAACAGGATTACACTGGGTGGCGAGTAGATTACAAGCCCGCACAGCGCGGTCAGCGCATGCGCAGCGCGCCAAACCACGCGGCTGGCGAGCGGGGCTCGCCGCCGCTTGCCAAGCCCTGCAGATCTGTATTGAATGAGCAGCATCTGCACGTGCTTCCAGCTCTCTTTGTCATGAGACGAATGGCCTGGTGTCTCTCTTGATCTACTGTGATGCTAGGAATTGTCCAAGGGATATTCAAGTGACTCATTCCTTCAAGAAGAGACCTGTTGCTCTCCTGGCTGAAAGCCCTGTTTGCCACACGGTTGTATGTGCCTTCTGTTCAGTAAACAGGTGTAAGCAGAGCGGTGCATGATGGTTCTCTTGCAGGGTGTTAGACACAATAAGTAAACTGTGTTAATAAGTGAAGCTAGGTGTTGATTTTAATAGTATGCTAATCTAACGCTGCCACGGGACATGGTCTTCCACCAGCTGCCTTAGAGACCACTAGCATTGTTCCCGGGAAAAGGGTGATATTTTGCTATTCGGGTATTTAAATGTTCCTTGCCCCACAGTGGTGCTGGCTGTATTTACTTTGTGTCCATTGCATCTACCCCCAAAGGCACTTTATTTGCCAAGCTCTAGAACTCCTTCTGCATTCTCAAAGTCAGGACCTTGACTGCTCTTGTTCCACCTGCCTGCTGCAGTGGTGTTAGCTCTGTTATAACTTTCACTGCAGGGCTCTGGTCTTCTAGAGGGGAGTCATTTGTTTCCTTGCTCCATGGTGAAATTGAGTGCATCATACCCGCCCCGAAGGCAGGGGTGGGCAAAAGGGCCTTTGTGGGCTGGATCCAGGCCAATTGGGGCGGGGGAGCGTGTGAAGCCTCTTCTTGCCCCGCACTTTGAAGAGCCATGTGCTGCTCACAGGGTGGAGGGGGGAGAGGAGAGCAGAGGAGGCTCCTTGCATAAATTGCTAGTTTCGTCCCCTGGAGGCTAGTTCAATTGGCCTCAAGAAGAGTCACACTTTCAGGCTGGGTCCAACTCTATTTAATTGTTTGCAAACAAGTTCGGCCGAGGAGCTCAGTGCTCAAAGCAAGGTCGACCTTGAGCATCTCCTGAGCTGAAACGTTTATGGATTCTACATTCCTTCTGGCCAGCGTGTCACAACGTGATTGGTCGCTGCAAGTTTACTCAGTTCCCTGGCAGAAAGTTTAGCAGCTTCTAAGTGATATGTGCTGTTTCGAGCTTAAGCAATGGAGGGGAAGAAGCACAATTAGTTTTTACTACACTCCCCCACCCCCAGGCCTTGATTGCTTGGGGGTGGGGGAGTGTGCCAAGACTCTTCCAAGGCATGGGTGCTTAGTGGGAAGGGGGGGCAAAGGGGCTCCTCCACTCCAAGACCAGTCATGGTCTGGGGGTGGGGTAGCCCTGCCCCTTCCCATTTAGGCCCCACCCTTCCCGTTTAGGCCCTGCCCCTCTCGGGGTGGCCTGGGACTACCCTCTAACAGTTTCTAGCCTTGGGCAGGTGGAATTTTCTTTTGGGCAGGTGGAATTTTCTTATGTGCAACACCGACATTGAGGTAGCGTGTGGATGTGCACCGCTAACACACACACACACACACACACACACACACACACACACACACACACACACACTTTATATCTATACAGGGCTCAACAATTAATGTAATCTCCTTGCCCGTGGTGAGTAGATTACAAGCCCGCACAGTCAGCTCATGTGCAGTGTGCGCTTCCGCACGGCCGCTGAGCGGGGCTCGCCGCGGTGGCAACCTCCGCTTGCCAGCTGTGCGGAAGCACACGCTGTGCATGTGCAGACTGCGCATGCGCAGACTGCGCTGCATGGCCCCACCGGCCTAAAATCTACTCGCCACGGGTGAGTAGATTGGCTAATTTGTTGAGCCGTGTGTGTGTGTGTATGTGTGTGTGTGTGTGTGTGTGTGTGTGGGTGTGTGGGTGTGTGTGTATCTATATATATCTATATACGGGGCTTGACAAACTGCGGTGAGAGCTACTCACCAGCCCCGCGCCGAGCATGTGCCAGACTGGCACTGCGCATGCATGCAGCACCAGTGAATGGGGTGCAGGGAGTGACCGGCTGAAATCGCATGGGCGAGTAGAAACAGCGGTTTATCAAGCCCTGTCTATATATCTATGTCTGTATAACACACACACATATACATAGGTGCTATGTCTAGACTGGCATGATTTTCCAGTAATGCTTTTAGCGGAAAAGTTTTCCGTTAAAAGCATTCTCAGAAAAGAGCGTCTAGATTGGCACGGATGTTTTTCCGCAAAAGCACTTTTTGTGGAAAAGGGTCTCTGGCTGATCTAGACGCGCTTTTGCACAAAAAAGCCCCAATCGCCATTTTCGCGATTGGGGCTTTTTTGCGGAAAACAAATCTCAGCTGTCTACACTGGCCCTTTTGCGCAAAAGTTTTGCGCAAAAGGGACTTTTGCCCGAACGGGAGCAGCATAGTATTTCCGCAAAAAGCACTGATTTCTTACAGTAGGAAGTCAGTGCTTTTGCGGAAATTCAAGCGGCCAGTGTAGACAGCTGGCAAGATTTTCCGGAAAAGCGGCTGATTTTCCAGAAAAACTGGCCAGTCTAGACACAGCCATATATTTTAAGCAGTCCGTACTTGTGGAAGAAAATATATTAAAACAAGACACCTGTGTCTAGTTGTTGTGAGTAGGGTTGCCAGATGGTTTAACCAAAAATATCGACCCCTCCTCCCCCCCCAAAAAAACCAGGAAAAAAAATTCTGTTGGGGGGAGTGGAGGGAGGGGTGAGACCAAAATTGTTGAGCAAAAAAAAAAAAAAAAAGACCCTGACAGCAATTAAGCAATAAATAAATAAAACAGGGTGGTGGCCATCTTGTTTTTCTGCTCCAGCCACAGGATAGCTCCCTTGCAGAACCAGATAAGCAGCGGGGGAGGGCTCGGGGGCTGGGCCCGGTTGCTGAATGTGTGGTAGGGTTGCCTGGTGTCCAGTATTTTTGCCTCATGGCAGGGAAGAAAATCAGAAAATACCGGACATTTTAGGTGTCTGTATTTTCTGAATTTTTTTTACTGGACAGGAGGTGAAAATACTGGACTGTCCGTGTCAATACGGGACACCTGGCAACCCTAGCTGTGAGGTACCTTTACTGACTATAAAGGTGCTGTACAAAGGTGGGGAATTTGCCTTCTTCCACGTGAGGAAGAGTAGAAGCCCAGAACAAATTTACACGTGGCTACAGGGTTTGTAGACAGATGGGCTGGGTCTAGATTGGCATGATTTTCCAGAAATGCTTTTAATGGAAAAGTTTTCCCTTTAAATCATTTTCGGAATAGAGCATCTAGATTGGCACGGACACTTTTCCGCAAAAGCCATTTTTGCGATCGGGGCTTTTTTCCGGAAAACAAATCTCAGCTGTCTACACTGGCCCTTTTGCGCAAAAGCTTTGCGCAAAAGAGACTTTTGCCTGAACGGGAGCAGCATAGTATTTCCGCAAGAAGCACAGATTTCTTACAGCAGGAAGTCAGTGCTTTTGCGGAAATTCAAGCGGCCAGTGTAGACAGCTGGCAAGTTTTTCCGTAAAAGCGGCTGATTTTCCAGAAAAACTGGCCAGTCTAGACACACATGCATGCTTCAAAGAGCTTGCAAAGAAGATTTCATCCTACACAAGTAGCATCGCACCTAGTGCTTACTACTTTTGACTCATAAGAGCCAGAACTCTACCACATAGAAAAGATCTGGCCTTAATGCAATACAGGTCAGAGTTTATAGATATCTGCAACACTCCAAAAATAATCTTTTTCTTTAAGTCATTAACACCTATGTAAACTTTGTTTGAAATGCAATCATGCAAATGTTCTCCTACAGCCCCCGCTCACATGCAGCCTCCCTCCTACTCAACCTAACAGCGAGTCAGGTCACCCCAAAAAAACTGCCCCTTGCCTCCGCCTCATTGCACAGATGCCAGCACCTACCTACCTCCCTTCCCCTCCACCTACCTCATGCAATCAGCCTCTTACCTCCCCCTTCCCAGCCCAGGCAGATGAAGAGACTGCTGGGTTTCTGCCTTGGTCCGTGTCTCTCTCTCCTTCAGCAGATGGGACTCCAAACTCCTCACCCCATCTGACTTCCCCCATGCCAATTCATTAATTACTCCCTCCTCACAGCCACCTATTGCCTCCTTACCTCATCTGCTTTTCTGCTCTGGGAGCTCTTCAGTTCAGCATGCAGTAGCACTTAGCTGCCGCTTGTCAGCTTACCTCCCTGCCTGAGCCTCTGAGCTGGGCTCAGAAAATAGCTGCGCGGTCACAGCTTAGATGAAACTTCGACCTCAACCCTATTCTAGAAGTTTAATTCTGTCTTCGCAGCCTCATCTGGCCAGGGGGTTAATTGCCTCTGGCTGGTTCTGCAGCAGAACTGGGATGCTGTTTTGTCCCATGAAAACCGGGATGCCGTCTCCATCCCATGCTCCTTGCTGTTGACTTGCAAACGTGTGCGTGTGAGTTCCTCTCATGGCTTGTCTAGGGGAGCATTGGGAGCAAGTGTTGATCTGCTGTACCCCGTGCCCCTAAAATTCCTGTTCTAGTTGGATGGATCCTATAAAATCTCTTAGTCCATCCACCATTACTCCCGGTGTCTGAGGTGAACGTTGGCTTCTTTGGGGTAGCTAATAGTAAGGTCAACACATACGGCTTACCCATGAATGGCGCATAGCTCAAGAGGGGGGGAGAGCTCAGAGCACTGTGTCTAGTGCAAGACTCAAGGCCTGAACCATAGCAACATCTCAGGCCATGTATTTGTGGATAAATCTCTCTAACATTTTCATATCACCAGGGCTTGACGAACGGTGGCGAAAGCCGCTCGCCAGCCCCGCACTGTGCATGTGCAAGACCCGTATTGTGCATGCGTGTGTCGCAAACGAACGGGGTGCCCGGCTGAAATTCAATGCTTTGTCGAGTTCTGCATATAACCACGTATCATTCTAATATAACTTTGTATTAAGAGAAATTTTGTAAGTCCTTTTATATCTATATCTAAATCTATAATCTTGTCCTTTTAGATGTATCTTTGTTACGCTTTCTTATAGAATCCCTTGTATTAAGAGAAGCCTTTTATGTTATAGGTCTTAGGAACAGTTAAGGTTAAAAAAAAAAAAAGTCTTTCTAGGAGTAGAATAGAATAGATCTCCCCTTTCATGGACTGTCCTGTTGGAATGAATGAGTTGTGAATGGAGAAGCCTTGAAAGGTGAGCACCTCCAGCAGCAGTTGCAAGGGTGGAGAAGGGGCTCTGTGCCAGATCGAAAGACAATAAGACTTGTGAAGCAAGCTCATTGAAAAGAGGATTGGACATATAGATGGCCTTGGGAGTCACAGCAAGTGCTTGAAGGACCCTCTTTGAAGCAACATTAAAAAAGGTGTCACAGGTATCTCCGTGCATATGTAAATGATGACTAACTGGCTGCATGAGAGGGAGGCATCTTGCAGAGGGAGCCCGGATTTTCATCTTGTCAACATCGGAGCATCGATCCAGATGGGCAGAAGCCCGGCTCCATCTCTCCCCCATCTAACTCACCTGGCCAGTGTAGTTAGGGAGAGCAACTATTGGTAACAACAAGACGGAGTGTGCTTATGATATCATATGCATATGATAAAGTATTGATTGACCTATGTGGCGTGTTGCCTTATCCCCCTGGAAAAAGATTCCAGGTGCTTCTTTTAAGCACAGCATACTAAAGCAGACGCTTACAAGTTTTCTGTCCGATACGTGGCCTTGGCAAGAGTCCTGCCAGCATTGCTAAAACACAGGCACTCCTAAAAAGCAACAGATACTAGAATGCATGTGAACACAGTTCAAAAAATTGCCTCCTGGCCTAACCCAAGAAAACAGTTGACAGATAATTGAGATGTTTGCTCAAGGCTGCTGAAGCAGGTAACAAGCAGATGCCAAGGAACAAGGAAGGTTGTGTCTCAATCTGTAGATGTCAGTATTTTGCTGTAACCCTTTGTGTAGCGGTGGGGACAGCAGCATTGCTTGTTGCTGACTGAGCCCCTCTTTGCCCTAAAGCACTCATGTGAGTGTACCTGTAGCTCCTGAGGGAAACTAGGATTGTGCCTTGAAGACCGTAATCCCAGCCGAGCACCTTTGTCACCAAAGGTCTTCCTGGGTAGTGCTACTGAGGTTTGTCGAGTCAGCTTATCAGTGCAGGGCTGGGACACACACCACCAGCTGACAGCAAAAGGCATGAAACGTGAGATTTGAACATCTCCCTTCCGACTGAAGTTCCTCTGGGAGAACTGGTGAGCAAGCAGCAATCTGTCTGTTCTCCTTTCACCTCCCCAACTTTATATCCTTTCTGTTGCTGACAGCTCACTGGTGATAGGCAGCGTATTACAAGTAAGGTTGAGCTGTCTACAGCTGGGGAGTTGTCACGTTCTCCGTGTGACCTTCCTCCAGAAAAGGGTGCTTTGGCTATTGCAGCGTCAACCTAAAATGTTGGAGATCCAGATTCAATCCCCTTTATAAATGCTGTAGTTTGTAGCCTAGCGACTATATCCTATTAGGGTGAACAGATGTGGCTCATTTTCAAAAGATTGTTTCCTGTCACCAGACTGGAACCCTATAACCCCCCTTGAAAATGGAGCCAGTTGTCGGTTGGCGTGCGTGCTCTGGTCATATGTTGTCCCAGCACGCATGCCTGGCGAGCAAACCTCCAGAACACTATCTCAGGAGGTGACCGGTGTGGATTGGTAACATTTGGCCTGGTTTTTGCCTGCCAGATGCTCATCTTGCACCCTTGCTCTGTGGCTACAAGTATGCTAGCACATGAGAACCCAGTGGCGAGGAGCGACTCGCTCAGGAACAGAGTCTCTGCCAT